CAGGAGACCCACCCTTGATCCAACCTTGAATGGAATCTATGTTCCCTATTGTTGAAAACTTTAAACTTGTGGCCCTTCTCCCTTTACTTGCATGTATCACATTTTCAATAACTCCCCTGGAAGACAACTGTATATAGCAGAGATAGTGTAATGGGAGAGGGGGAAAGGGCAGAGGGTCAAAGATAGGATAAAAAACATATATATATGTATACATTGTATGAAAGTAGAAATGGAATATTATTGATGATAACATGCTTGATTAAGTCACTATGCAGTTTGTCCTAGATGGGAAACTACATTTAGTATTTTGTGATGATGCTCAGGGAATGAGTGTTAGGTAATATAATATAAAAAAAAAAAAATTGCAGGAGGAAAAAAAAAATGCACATTGATGACTGCAGCGAGCTGTATGGGCACAGCTGGGTACTACTTTATAGTATGTTCATTCTACTCATCGGGGTTTATGCCTAGGGTCAGACTTGGATACATGTGTAGGTTCATGTCAGCTGTGCTAGCTAATGGATTTATTTAGACTAATTAAGTTAATTGGCAGAACAATTGAATGGGGGGGAAGAAGGTATGGAGGGCAACCATGGATGCCAGGGACAATGGGGGAGGAAGATGGGACATAGCAGAGGGTGGGGGATGGGGAATCAGGGATGGCAAGACAAAGGGCAAGGTATGCAGGACGTAAGAATTGGAAAATTATTTGCTGAGAACATGTATGTGGATGTGCTTGATTGAGCCAATGCACCGTGTATTTTGGATGGAAAATTCATTTGTGTGTTGTGATGGTGTAAAGTGAATTAATAAAAAAAAAAAAATGGCCCAATTCGAAATGCCAGTGGTACTGACCCTGAGGGCTCCAGGTCTCTAGTTCCTGAGTAGCACATGCTCATATGGCCACAAGTGCCCTAAACAAGAGGCAGCAAGTCCCCTCAACGCAGAAGAGAAGGTGACTTTAAGATCAGCGTGAGATCTGAGCCTGGGCATCTGCACATCATTTTTTTCTGGGCCTATCAGGACTGACCTTCCAGGGTGAGTGACTGTAATTTATGCTTTTCTATGATATTGCTATGGACATAGGCCAACGGCTTGGTTGTCCACTTGTCCACAACGTCTTCATCCTTCAGCCTGTGAGAGAACTAGTATTTATTCCGCAGTGGCTTCTAAAAGTATAGGAGTGAGGCTAAGAATATTTAACTAAACTCTTAAGGTGTGCCCTAGCAAACCCAAAGGTATTAAGGAAGAGCCCAGCTGCAAGACTGATAAGCTATTTACAAAAGGGGAAATCAACTCTTCTGACCAAGGGTGACTACACACCAGGAAGTGTTTAAATACTCTCATGGCTGTGATCTAAAAAGCTAATCAACGGCCAGGTCTAGTAAGAAGAAGGGAAGAGCCTAAAGGACCAACTAACCAAAGAGAATATTACTGTGATGCAAGGTACCAATTCCAGTGACCCTTGTGACCAGAGGTCCCATAGGACCCTCAGGGAGAGAGCATTGAACACCTTGGGGGCCAGCAGGGAAGCAGTGATTAAAGCACTGGACCTCCACATGGGGGTCCATAGTTTGAGTCCTGGACCTGGTGGCTTGCTTTCTCTTTCTCTCTCTTGTAAGCACACATGCCCTACAGAAAATTAAAGTAATAACAGTAATTATAATAAATAAAATAGATAATTAATTTTATAAAAGGAGAAGAAGGCATCCCACGGGTCAGCAGGTGCTGTGGTGGTTAAGGTGGCTGGAATCCACATGGCCGACTGTGGTTTTGAGTCCTGGACCCAGTGGCTGCAAGCCCGAAATCCCAAGAGGAGAATGGAGGAGCCGGAAGTATGGCATGCCCATTCCCCTTGAGGAACTCCCTCCGTCTCCCTTTCTCGTTTTCCCTCTGTCTCTCTCCTCTCTGGTGAATGCATAAGCCCTATGGCCAAAAGCCGAGGAAAATAATAATAAGAAGAAGACACCCCAAATACCTAGGTGTGAATCCCAGCTCACCCACATGGGCGGGGGGTCACATAATCTTGAATAAGTTATTTCATCTTTCTATGGCTGAATGTCCCTGTATGAGGGGGACAATAATTGTACTCAATTCCCAAGGTCAGTCTGAGGGAATAAGTAAATATTTGTAAATAAGTGAATGTTTATAAATAAGTACATGTTTGCAAATCAGTAAACATTTGCTAAGCCACATGGAAAGTTCTGGGTTCACATCCAGAAACCTCCCGGAGTGTACTGGGCATGTGTGTACAATAATCTAGGGCTGTCTGGGGCTGGGGTTCGAGCATAGCATTGAATCATGTTGAGGGGCACTTGTCTCTCTGTCTCTCTCTCTCATTGATAGAAGAATAACTATTTTAAAAATGTAACTTTAGAGGGGAAAAAAAGCTTACATATGTCTCTCCAACTTCAGGGAGATTCCTGTGCTTTATCTTTTCTCCATGTGAGGAATGGAGGCCAAGGGAGCCCAAGAACTAGCCTGGGGCCACAGTCTGAAGGCCACAGAGCTAGAGTTTGGGTTCCCACCTGTCTGACCCCATAATGGCAGCCCTAGTAAGGACCGGAGACCCAAGGTCACAGGCGATGGCGGGGGCAGTTCACTGTCGGGCCCCGACTCACCCACAGACAAGATCTCCCGGCACTTGTCACACTGGTCCTTCATCCTCAGGCATCCCGTGGAGTTGTGGCGGATTTCCCGGCAGACTGAGCGGTCGTCATTGCCCTCTGGAGTCACACAGGGAAAGACAGAGGCAGGCTGACCTGGCTAGCAACTCAGAGACAGGCCTTGCCGATCCCTCCCAACCTCCGCACTACAGCCTGGCCCTGTAGGATTGCTAAGTGGTCAGCGCAGGTCAGAACTGAGCTATTTCCAGGAGGTACAGGCCTCTGCTTGGGACTCTGGCCAGAGTGCCTGTGGATCCTGGACTGGTCCAGACTCCCTCCCTCTGTCTCCATTGAGGGAGACCTCTCTGGCCTCCACTGTCTCCTCAACTCCTTGCACTCATCTTCAGCACCTTAGCCCACTGTGTTCTGCCTTCTGTCTGGCTCTGTGCTCTTCCCAAGCCAGCCAGCAAGTACTCGCTGAGGGCAGGTACAAACCCATTCAAGTCCCTCCTGTACTTCCATGTCAAGCCAAACCCTGATGCCAGACTACAGCACATGACAGATAGGATTTTCAACAAAGGCCTATGACATCCATGAAAGTGATCACTCTGTAAAGAACTGGATTTTCATGTCTGTATTAGACTTGTTCATTCAAAGGACATGCACCGAGTGCCCATTCCGTACCAGGCCCTACAATCAGAGTCATCACCAGCCACGGTATGTGATTGTCTCCAGCACGTGCAGGGCTTCCACACAGAGACCCCTGAGTTCTAGAGGGGAAGGGGCTCTAGTCTGAGGTCACCATCACACCCAGTAGTGGCTGGAAGGGACATGGATGACTAGAAAGAACAGACTCCACACCCTGTAGTTCTATGCTGGACTGGATCCCATTCTGTCAGTGCAAAACCTCAGACATATTCCTTTACCTCTCTCTTACTTTTTAAAATGGGGATAATACCACAGGGTTGCTGTGGCAAAATGAGATGGCACACAAGACGCAGGCATAGCTCTTGGCATCTGCTGGGTTTCTCAATAGACTCTGAATGCCCAGCTCTTCTGGGGAAGAAGGAGACATCTTTCTAACCTGTGATGTCCATGCTCGGGGGCTGGAAGGCCGGGCTATGGAAGTGGACATCCATAGCCTGTTGCGCCTGGTGTATCATGTCAAAGAAGGGCTGGAACATGTCCTGGAAATTCGGAGGTCCGAACGGAGAGAAGTGCATGATGCTGCGGGCGATGCGGGACTTGGGGTAGAGGAAGTGAGGCCTCCTGTGGAAAGAGCTGAAGGGCGAGTAGAAGTAAGTGTCCTGGGGCTCGTGGGTGAAGAACCTGTCCTGGAAGAGTTCATCCATGATCCCAGACGCCCGGTCAAAGCGGTCCTGCATGACGTCCATTATGTGAGTCTGCTGCCGGTCATCCTCCAGTAGGGAGTCGATGCGGTCACCGTTCATCCAGAAGTAGAAGGGCGAGCTCTGGTTTAGGAACTCCTCGAGCTGGAACAGCCCAAACAGACACAGTTAGGAGAAGCTCAAGAAGGCCACAGCCACCTGTCCTTTCTCCGGTTATTGGTGAAAAAGTCACACAGCACATGGCCAAAGGCCTGAGAGGGACTGACCCCCAGGGATGCAAACTGTCAGGCAAATGTCTTTCCATTCCACCTTTCCCACGGAGGGAGACTAGACACCCTGTGAGGCCAAGAAATTCACAGCGTTTCACTTCAGATTAGTCCCTGTCATATCTGGCCACTGATAATACCCACCCCTGCCCAGCTGAGGGTCAACTGGTACACCTTCGGAGAACAGTAAAATTCACTGAGTCTCAAACAAGCAGGCCCACAGGTGAAGACAGGATCATATTAGTGTACCAATAATTCTTAATTCCTCCTGCCTAAGTGGATACGAGGCTCCTCCATACAAGCAATGGCAAATACCGGACACACATACATTTGGAAGATCCTACACATCTGTACTCATAGCACACATGACTAACGAATCTGACACTCAGGGCCATAGTGCAGCCTGCCTACTAATCAATTACATGTGGCATGTGGAATTAAGCATGTTCACAGGGTTCCCCACACTCCCCACTCAATGCCTAGACCACGTGTATGTCCCCTTTGCACCTGGCGGCCGACCAGGCCTGAGCCACTTCTGCAGACACGTGCGTAGAACTTCATGCAAGTTTGCTTCAGGCAGGGCTTACACTCCTCCCAGAGGGCTGTCATGGTCTCATTGCACACTCCTGGGAATGCCTTCAGCTTCATTTCAGAGTCCTTGGTCTCGTTTAGGGCATCCTGTGGGAAGACACAAGGCCGGGTGAGCCCCGCACAGATCAGAGGCTTCACCCCTCCCAAGCAGGCACTGTGATACCAGGCCCTCCACCACCAACCAGGCAGGACTTCCCATGGCCTGCCCACGCAGTGTGCTCACCTCTGCCCCGTCTACCCGGAATCCCTCCCACCGGACTATAAGCGTTCTCGCACTTAGGACCCAGCCCTTCCTTAAAGCCTTGGCTGATTCCTAGCACCCATGTGGACACCTCATTTCTCTTACTGCTCTCATGGTCCTTCCCCAGGAGGACTGCTCTCATACCACTTCTTTTCCCAACTTCTAGTATTTAAACTTTACCTTCCAAAGCCCACTGAAGGCTCCCTGTATCCTGTTTGTTTGTTGAAACTGTGGCCCTGGCATGCAAAGTCAATCAGTAGGTTTCAAAACCAAAGTCAAGAGGCCAACAAGTAGCATGGTGGTTAAGGCGCTGGATTCCCACATGACTGACTACAGTTCAAGTCCTGGAATCGGTGGCTTGAAAATCATGCTGGGCACATGTGCATGCATGTCCAAAATCCCAAAAGGAGAATGGGGGAGAAGAAATTGTGGCATGGCCATCCCCCGAGGGAGTGATTTATTACTTTCCCTCTCTCTGTCTCTTTCTGCCAAGTACATGTGCCCTATGACAAAAAATGAATAAATAAACAAAAACCCAAAGTCATATCAGCTAGCAAAACTCTCTAATATAAAGCCTGTACTGTCAGCTACTCAAGGGGCTGAGGCAGGAGAATGGCAAGATAGTGAGACTCTATCTAACAAGAACACCATACATACACACACACACACACACACACACACACACACACACATCACATCACATACACATACACACACATATACCCTCTCTAACAAGCCCATGTCATTTGAACCAATCGTTCCATGAGAACCTACCCCAGGACAAGCAGATGGCATAATGGATATGCCATTGGACTCCCACATGGCTAACTACGGTTCAAGTCCTGGACTTGGTGACTTAAAAACTCACGCCAGATGCATGTGAGTGCGTGCCCAAAACCCCAAGAGAAGAATGGAGAAGGGATTATGGTATGGCCATCCTCTCTAGCGGGTGATTTCTTGCTTTCTGTCTCTCTATCTCTCTCTGTCTCTCCAGCAAGCACACGCACCCTATAGCAAAAATCTCTCTTAACAAAAAAGAACCTATCCCAAGGATATATCCCTCAAGATATTTGTTATAGTATTAGTTTATGGCAAAAAGATACCAGAATCAACCAAGATACTCAAAAGTGGGGGATGAGTTAAACTGTGGTACATACAAAGGGTAAGATAACTCATCATTATAAGGAATGTTTATTATATAACATTTTAAATATTCTAATAAGCATCTTTATGTTAAAATTTCAAAATTTTAAATATGGCCACTGTTAGAAAATTTAGAGAAAAGAATGGTAAGAAATAGATCAATTAACAGGAAATTGTCCTTGGGTAAAAGGATTATGGAAAACTTTTCCTCTTCTATTTTTCTGTATTGAAAGGAGTGTATTATTCTAGGGAAAAAAAAAAAAAAAAGGTAAATGGACTGTCTATACCCCAGCCAAGCTACACCATGGGGATCTGACTCAGAGGAGTTAAGGGGGGCTGGAGGGGCCAGGAGGAGGTGTGGTGGTTAAGGTGCTGGACTCCCACATGGCTAACCATGGTTTGAGTCTCAGATCTGGTGGCTTGCTCCCCCAACCCCTCTCTTTGGTAAGCACACGTGCCTTATAGCAAATTAAATAATAATAATAAACATAAACTAATAATAGTAATAAATAAAATTTTAAATAATTAAAGAGAAATGTTAGGCAAGGTCTTTGTCCCCTCCTCCCTGCTGGGAAAGGACACCCTACCTCTCACTGAGCCGAGACACAAGTGTCAACTATAGCACACTCACTTGTTTTCTTTCTGGTTCACATATTCCTCAACTAAGAAGTAATGGAAGGCCAGCACCATAGCACAGAGGTTAAGCACTATGCAGAAGAAGCCAGATTCCATATGGCCAACCAGGGATAGAGACCCAGCTCCATCAGCCAAGCATGTACATGCCTGCCCAGGATCCTGATGGGATGAAGAACTAGAAGAAAGAGGACTGCAACATGATTAAGCTCCAATGGAAGGGATGTTTTTTCTCTCTCCCCCTCTTTCCTGCATGTGCACACATCCTCTAGCCAAAAAAAAAGAAAAAGAAAAAGTCTTCCAAACTTGATGTGTTTTATGATAAAATCTGGATTGTCAAATATCAAACTCCAATGATAACCACAAAAATCTGAGAACCAGATGTGCCTCCATTCCATGAGCTGTTTGAGAATTCTCACAGAAGTGTGAGAACTAAGACTGTGCCCAAAACGGGGATGACATTTGACAGAAAGTTAGAGGTGTATCCAGGCTAGCAATTCCTCAGTAGCTTCCACGGAATTGTGCTAAAAACTGTCAGGGGTAAAAATGGATCCCCTGGCCAATTCAATTCAGAAAACTAGGGATAAATAAGATATGTAGATTTCTTTACTGCGGAACTTCTCAAGGCCTTTAAAATGCTTGTGATGTGCATGATGGATCATAAAGGTGACAGCTAGGCCCAGCTCAGCATCCCTTTCATTTTCAAGGATATTCTTAAGGAGATGGTTGTTTTGTTTTTTTTAAAAGTCATTTGTTTTTGAATTCTAGTGTTGAATTTCATGAAATCATTAAGAACAAACTATTGAGTCATCGGGAAAGTCATGATATATTAACAGATCTGCTATGTTCACTATTGGATTTAAGGTGTTAAATAGTCCAGAACTGTAGGGGAAAAATGGGGTACATGGTACGTGTCTGCCATCGCCCCAACCATATGGCCCCTGTTAGATAAGCCTACCATCCCCCTCCCTGCCACCACCCTTTCCGGAGCCTAACTTGGAACTTGCACATGATCAGGGTTTGAAAAATCTATTGAAGCAAATCTGGGCATCTAGCCCTTGGCCAGGCTGCTTAGAAACCAGATCCAAGATCTCATCCCCTGCAGCTTTCATAAGCAATTAAACCCTCCTCGTATCTTAACTACCACCCCAGAATCAGCTGAGGCAGCATTGGGAGGGCTGTGGATCACCATGACAACCCAGCGGGCCCCCTCACGGTGACCCCTCTCTGTCCTCCAGTAGGATGGTCAAGGCAGGGCCCTGGGCATGAGCTCATCCTTACCTCTTTCTTCCTCTTGGCTTCCTCTAAGGTGTTCAGCAGTATCTTACGCTCTTCATTTGTTTTTTCTATTAGAGTCTTTATCTCTTTCACCCCCTTGACAGCATTTTGAATTTCCTTATTAATGTACTTACTCCCCTGGGTGGACATTTCTGCAAGAGAAGGGCAGGAGGTACAGTGAGGTGAGAGGAAAAAATGGCGTAAGGAACATTATAACTATGAAACCCGCTGGAACAGTCAGGAAGGCCTATTTGGTCCAAGGGCTTTCCAGGCTGGACCTTCTACCCCAACCCAGGCAGCCTCACAACCCCAGCCTTGCCCCATCACAGGCCTTGACCTAGCACACACCATCAATGCCACCCTACTGCTCAGAAACACAAACTCCAGGAGGAGCAACTGTGGAAGTGGAATATTTTTAAAAAGCATTAAAACATGAACTATTGTTATTCTTGGCATAAATCTTTCTAGAATTCAATTTAACCAAACAGTTGTACTTTTTTTGTTCCAATGTGCAGTGCAAGGTGACAGGGACAGGAAGGTGAATGAATGACACTGTTCCTCAGGGAATCTGTGACCAAGGCAGAGCTCTGGGTGACAAATGCAATGAGACACCCTGTCACCTGGCACTTACCCTTTGCCAAGCACTGCACCTGACAATTCATGTGCATTTTACTTAATATTCCCAGTACCATCCTCATGCCCATCTCATAAAGGAGAACCAGGGTAACGAGGGGGTGTTGGCCAGGGACACAGAGTTTCAGTGAGCTAGGATGAAAAGGTCTGGAGAGCTACTGTACGGACAGAGCCAGTGTTCATAATAGAGCATTGTACGCAGTCAGTCGTCCGTTTCTGCAGGATCTGCATCCCTGGCTGCATGCAACCCACTGCGGATCAGAAATATTTGGGGAAAAAGACAATATGGTAATACAATAATACAAACGCACAACAACTGTCTGCATAGCACATAGTGTGTGTGAGGTATCATAAATACTCTAGAGATGACTGAAAGTATATGGGAGGATGTGCCTAAGTTATATGTAAATACTATGCCACGTTAATTTTTTTCTTTAATCGCAATAGAGCATGTGCATGCACACATGAGGGCATGACAGTGAGAGAGAAAGAGAGGAGCCCCCTCCCTCCACAGGGGCTTCCCTTCCTCCAGCCTAGCCCATCCTGAGCACTCACATTCGTGCCCATTGTGTCTCAGGCTGACTCCCAGTGGTTTAAACCGGGGTCAAACCATGCCATTTTATATAAAGGACATGAGCATCTGTGGACTTGGTATCCATGGGGGATCAAGGGTCCTGAAATCATCCCCTGCAGATACTGATGGATAACAGTACTTGAACTTTGTTAAGGAAATAAAAAATCATGATTTTTTTTCCATGCAAAAATGCATCATGACTTTCCTGAAGACCCAATAGATCTATTTTTTTTTTTTTTTTTTGAGAAAGAGATTTTTGCTATAGGGTGTGTGTGCCTGCTGGAGAGACAGAGATACAGAAAGTGAGAAATCACCCCCCAGGGGGGATGGCCATGCTGCAATCCCTTCTCTTCCATTCTCCTCTTGGGAACTTGGGCACGCACGCACACCCACCGGGCGTGAATTTTAAGCCACCAGACCCAGGACTTGAACCATGGCCAACCACATGGGAGTCTAGCAATGTAACCATTATGCCATCTGCTGGTCCCAGACAGATAAGCGTTCTCACCCCTACACACATGTGGGTATGCACACAAACAAGAAGGTAACTATGTGAGGTGACAGATATGCTGATTAGCTTGGTAGCAGTAATTATTTCACAATGTATATCAAAACATCGCATTGTAGTGCCAGCTGGTGTAATGGTAGTTAAGGCAGCTGGATCCCACCCACATGGCCGACTCCATGGTTTGAGTCCTGTCTCTCTCTGTCTCTCTGGTGAGAGCATGTGCCTTATGGCAAATTAGGGGAAAAAAATCATGTTGTACTCCGTAAACACATTTATAATTTTATTTTTCAATTGTACCTCAATAAAACACAAAGGTGGGAGGAGTGTCATGAGATCCAGAGTTGCCTACACTCTCCTGTAGAGAATAAACAGGGAGTGGTGGGGTGGAATTACACCCCGGTTGGAGATCAAGGTCTGGATTTTTACCAAACCCACAGAACTGCTCCTCTAGGAGGAGGGTGGGATGGAGGGAGGTGTCAGGAAAGGCCTCATAAAGAACAGGGCCTCCAGCAGGGCCGAGGATGGTCACTGAACCTCCCCCGCCGTGCCTAGTGAGCAGAGAACATGGAGCCTGGTGTCTGGGTAGGCAGGGAGGGAACGCTGGTTAGAGCTCTGGATACCCGCGTGGGGGCGATGTATGACAGCTCCAACCTCCAGACGTGGCTTTGAGGAGGTGCACGGGAGCCAGCCATGGGGACTAGAAATGGGAGAGCTGAATGGAATTCAGCCACCAGGAGGGGCTGCAGAAAGGCCCACATACGTCTAGAAGCCCAACTGCCCACAGGAGCGGAGCCAGGGAGCCAGGGAGAGAGGCTCAGGGAGGGGTCTGGCAGAGAATGCCAGGCCAGGAGCTGAAGCTAAAAAATGGTGTTTATGGCTGGGGCCTGACAGACAGAGACTGCGCCCAGGGAGGTGGCTCTGCCTTCCAGCCTGGCTCTCTGCAGCCCAAGGGACATCACGCTGACCTGCTTACCCTGGAGCTCGTTGTCTGAGACCACCTGGTCGCCCAGGACCCGGCCATTCTCCCAGGTCAGCAGCAGCCCCACCAACAGTAGCAGGGTCTTCATCGTGTCTTTCTCTCTAATTCTGGAATCCCAGCACGCCTCTGTTTGGAGAGAACAGGAGATTGTCATGGTGACAGCCAGACAGCTGGCTGGTTTCCTGCCCAGCCTGCTGTCTGTGGCCACTTCCCAGGCCACTTCTCGGGACTTGTTGCCCCTGGCTATCCCCTTGGCTGAAATGACTGCTTTTATCCCTGAGAAAATGAGGAGAATTGACCAAGTTTGCCATTGACACCTCCAAAAGAAAGTGAAGGCAGTGGTTACAGAGAAAAGCTCTAGGGCTGCAGCAGACAGCAGCAGAAGCAAGAACCCTGGGGTCAGCAGAGGCCTCTAGTCCAGGACCCCTCTCCCCCAACGACAGCTGTATATGGTTTAACAAAGCCCACGAGCTTGCTATGTCCGGGCCTCCTTGTTCAGAAAGGGCGTCTATCACACCAGACACTGAAAACACCTCCAGTCCCCCACTAATGTGGGACTGCACCCCAGGGCCAGCCATGTCTCTGCCCTCCCAACCATGTGCATCACTAATCCTCAGCCACAGCAGACATTACCAATCAATTGCAGCACTTTGTCTCCCTTCCCCATGGAGGCTCAGTACCACTTCCACCTGCTTTTTAAGAGTCTGAGGCAGTAATAGCCATCCTTTGGGATGATACAGGAAATGAAGTCCACTTGCCATACCTCAGGTGAGACATGAGCCAGGCTGCATATAGATTCAGGAACATAGCAGGGAGTAAGGGAGGGTAATTCTCTTCTGAGAGCAGCGAGGGCAGAGCCAATGAAGGGAAGCTCAAAGTCAGAGGGATAACAGTGAGCCCAGGGAGCAGGCTCCCCAGGAAAAGTCCCCTGGGAGGACAGGCCTTGGCTCTGCCAAGTCCCTTTCACACGGCCTGTTGTCTCTCATCTCACACCAGCACACCCTGCCAAGTGCTCCTGCCACCACTCAGCTGGCTGCCCTGTGCCAGGGGACATGGGCCACAGCCCCGGTCTTACACAATGGACCCTTTCCCAGAAGCTGAAGTTGTTACATAAACAGAAGTCCCTCCCCCAGCAGCCCCCACCCCAGCCAGAATTGCTTATCTGAGCTCACCCATTTCCCATAACAACCAACGGGAAGTGGGAGTCCCTTTCCAGAAATGGTTCACATCCAAAAGTGGCTCTCAGTTCAGC